GGGAGAAATGTTGCCCAATATTTGTTTAACTATGTAAAGATATTTTGTATTTGTTTATGTTGTGAATATTTGTTTAACTGTGTAAAGATGTGTTGCTGTTTTACCTTGCCTGCCTAAGGCACCTGATTGATCTAATAAAAAGCTGAATGGCAATAGCAAGGGAGGAGATATAATCAGAACTTCCAGGCAAGAAGAGTAAGGAGGAGGAGAAATTTAGGCTCAAAGAAAAAGAAAATGAGATGGCAGGAAGACACCAGGGGCCAGCCAGACACGGAGGAAGCAGGAAAGTAGGACATACAGAATGAAAGAAAGGTAAGAAGCCCCAAGCCAAAACGTAGATTAATAGAAACTTATTAAATTTAGTTAAAAGAGCTGGCAGGATAGCCTAAACTAAGTCCAAGCATTCAGAATTAATAATCTCTGTGTCTTTATTTGGTTGGAGGCCCAAAGAACATTCCAACTACAGCCTCTTGTTCTCAAGAAGGTGACAGCTGTGGTTATGCACCACCCAAAAGCTTCCATTCCCTGAGCCATCGCGCTCACCCAGGGAGAGCATCTTATGTCAAACAAAGATTTTGTTTGAGTCAGGCATGATAGCGCATACCTTTAATCCCAGCACTTGGGAGGCAGAAGCAGAAGGATCTCTGTGAGTTCCAGGCCAGCCTGGTCCACAGAGCAAGTTTAAGGTCAACCAGAGTAGCACTAATTATTAACTAATTAACTAATGGATTAATTAATTAGCTAAAAGATTTTATTTGAAAATGTTGGGCTTGGGTATAGGACTAGTCAGGTCATGCTGTGAAGCCGCAGGGCGATTGGTAATGAAAAGTCCCCAGACTATCTTAATACAAAATATACAGCTTTAATAAACAGAAGTAAGACTTACACCAGCTTACACCAGAATCCAAACGATCCGTCTGGACGCAGGAGCCAGGCAAAAGAGAGCTAGCAGGAGCGCGCTTGCTAGGTTTAAAGGCAAGCTTTAGCCTAAGGGCGGCACGCCCCCAAAACAGAATGTGACTGGCTGAACTCCCCTATCATCTCCCCCTTTTTTCTAAAATAAGACGGAACCAAACCAAATACAACTATATACAATAGAAGCAAATAATAAATATAAAGTTACAAACAACAAACAATGTTAAGCAAGAAACATATAACAAAAGTTCTGCTAAACATTCTATCTCAGGGAGTCTAACTAATGTAGATGGTAACTACAACTATCTAATCTTTAACTCCATCAAAGATCTGAGAAGGAAAATTTTACTCAAGCAGCCCGGAACTACAAGCGGGAAACTTCCAAAATGTGCAACGAATGGAAGAGACAACTGAATACCTGGGCAATCCCCCAAAGTCTCGTATGCAATGTTGAGTCAACCAACTTTGGCTAAGGCCTGATGTAACTGACATGCCATTTTTCTGTTTTTTTTTTAAATATTTATTTATTATGTATACAATATTCAGTCTGCATGTATGCCTGAAGGCCAGAAGAGGGCACCAGACCTCATTAGAGATGGTTGTGAGCCACCATGTGGTTGCTGGGAATTGAACTCAGGACCTTTGGAAGAGCAGGCAATGCTCTTAACCTCTGAGCCATCTCTCCAGCCCCCCTGACATGCCATTTTTCAAAGGCAAGAAACCTTTTAGGACTCTCTCACCCTGTCTTGGCAAGATAAGACAATCCTGTTTTTATCCATTTACGGATATTCTGTAATTCTGTCAGTGGTTGAGGTATGAGCTTTTTCTTTGCCCAAAGGCCAGTTCTGCCAGGAAGAAGACAAGCTCCATGTGGAGTGTCTTTGGTGCTCAACGTTCTCTCGGGAGTAGAGCGGTGATGCCAGGAGCGATTGTGTCTCACTACTATAGAACTATGAGTTAGATTAAAGGCCATTTTCCACAGCTCTTCAAAGAGGTTGAAGATTATACTATCTATACTAAGTATGATCTCTATGCACCTAAATAACCTGATTAGCCTAAATATAAATATAATAAACATATATGACTATTGATTTCTATCTACCTAACTTGAAGACTAAGAGAATGAACAACTGTGCAATGAGTGAGGACAATGACCTCCAAATGTAAACAATGTACATAAATATCTTAATCGGAGGTAGGAATGTAAATATATGTATATATATTAATACAAATAGAGGTAGAAGCATACTCACATACAATACTTAATATATCAGTGTACAAAAATCAACACCGATACAATTTTCTAAAAACAATAACTCACAAATGCCAATATATTATTATTATTCCAATCAAATTACATAAATATCTTAATCAAAGGTATATAAATATATGTATATATATCAATACAAATAGAGGTAGAAACATACTCACATACAATATTTAATATATCAATGTACAAAAATCAACACCAATACAATTTTCTAAAAACAATAGCTCACAAATACCAATATATTATTATCCCATCACCAATCAATCCCCCCTTTTTTTTTGATAAACACCCCTGAGTTTATAAAATACCTCCCCCATTCCCTCATCCCTATATCAATTATAACCAATCCCTAAATGATGTCCCTAAACCTGAGGGCAAATTCTACTGGGAGAGGGGATGTCGTCCTCTAAAATTGCTTCCAGCTGTCATGGGGACGACGTTACTCTTAGGGGGGTCCTGTGAAAATAACTGATGGTAAAATTCCCATATAAACATTTGGTGTGAGAGAGTTGTAAATAGTCTCTGAGTAGTTTGAGGAAGTCTGGCCAGAGTGTTGTCAAATATTGTGCATCATCCGGAACTGTTTTGTGTAGCTGGTACCAAAAAACAGGTCTAAAAAAATAGTGCTACCAACATTATGATGTCATAGTAACCAGGTGGAGTTGGTGTTGTGGGGCCCCATCTTCATCCTAGAAGCTTTAAAGATTACTGCAGGAAAATTTATTGTTTGTCATGGGAAAGTTAAACATTATCTACAAAGACATATACAGACAAATATAGATAGATAGATAGATAGATAGATAGATAGATAGATAGAAACAGATGTGGGGAAAGGCAAAGAAAATTTATCAATTATAGTTATTCTGTCCCGTATCTTGGCTCTTGACATGAGACAGAAACTCTGGGATATCTCTTATCAACAGGCTTGGAAATGAAGAGGAACTGAGCCATTGTCCAACTCCAAAACCAGCTCTACATATTTATAAATAAATGCACATTAGTACATATTAAAAAATAGTAATACTTACCTAAGCTGGCAGGTCATGCTGGTTGACAGGACCTTTTTCTCCAACCTCACAGCAGCTATTAAAAGAAATGGCACGCACCACCCTGTAATCCTCACTTCCCTAAGGAAGTGCACCAATCTCTAGCAATCAGTGGTGACAGGTGGCACTTCTCATATGATGGACACACATTAGCTGAAAAGCTAAACCTTTTCTCCTTCCCTTGCAGCTGAGGTTATAGGTGATTGTGAGCCTACAGTCATGCGTACTAGGAAATGAACTCCAGTCCTCTGGAATAGCAGTATGTGCTCTTTACCATCAAGTCATCCCTCCGTCCTCAAGCAGGTAGTATTGACTGTTCATTAATTACATGGAATGGGATTACCTGCTCCCCTGGAACTTGAAAGATGGGACACCATACCTCACTCCTGCTAGTCTCCTGGGCCTGGAATCTGTGAATTACCATACAATTTCTGTAGCATTAACAACGCTTCGAATAAATCATTTACTCCGAACCATAATCTGTCTCAGTATTCCTCTTAAACCCAAATGTGAGACTTTATAGGAAGCGCATTATAAATATGTGCATGTTAATAATGCAATTATTATTGTTTGTTTTGAGATGGAGCTTTATTCTGCAATCTGGCCTGGCCTCAAACTCTTGGCTGTCTTTCCATTTCAGCCTATAAAGCACTGGGATTATAGGTGTGTACCCCAGGCCAGGTTAATAAGTGCAAAATCAATTATTATTTAAGTGAGACCTCTCAGGCAGCCCAGGCTGGCTTTGAACTCATTATGTACTGAAGAATGATCTTAAATTCCTGATCTTCCTGCAATCACCTCCCAGTGCTAGGAATGCAGTCCTGTGACACCTTGTCTGGTTTGTGCAATGCTGTGGTTGGAACCCAGGCTTCAGCCAGGTTAGGCAAGCATTCTAAAAGCAAAGCTAAGGGCTGGTTTAGCAGTTAAGAGCACTGACTGCTCTTCCAGAGGATCACGTTCAATTCCCAGCACTCAATGGCCAATCACAACCATCTGTAACTCCAGTTCCAGATGTGTTGATCTCATCTGACCTACACCTACATCAGGTGTACATACATACAGGCAGGGAAAACATACTAAAAAATAAATCTTTAGCCGGGCAGTGGTGGCGCAGGCCTTTAATCCCAGCACTCAGGAGGCAGAGGCAGGCAGATCTGTGAGTTTGAGGCCAGCCTGGTCTGAGGAGTGAGCTCCAGGACAGGTTCCGATGCTGTACAGGGAAACCCTGTCTCGAAAAACAAAACAAATAAATAAAAATTTAAAAAACAGAGCTAATTCTTCAGTTCATGATGCATATTTTTTTTTTTGTTGTTGTTTTTCGTTTTGTTTTGAGACAGGATTTCTTTGTACCGTTAAGAGCCTGTCCTGGAACTCACACTGTAGACCAGGCTAGCCTCAGACTCACAGAGATCTGCCTGCCTCTGCCTTCCGAGTGCTGGGATTAAAGGTGTGCGCCACCACCGCCCGGCTTAGCAGATTCTTCAAATTTCTTGTATTTGCTGTGGAGGTTTGCGTGATGGTGTTGACTGGTCTCTACCTACTGGACCTTCTCCCAGAGCAGCGGGACTCTGTGCCACCGAGCTTGTGCCCAGGGCCTCCAGCTTCTTCCACCTGCTCATCGTCCCTTCCCGACCTGGCCAGCAGGTGACGCCGTCGGGATCACTTGTTTTTCCCGTACTCCAGTCCTCTGAGAGTGAGCGAACCATCAGAGACGAAGACCTCCCACTTTCCTAGAGAGATCAAACGGGCGTTTGGTTCACGGGGGTTGTAGTGGGTGGTGAAGAAGGACGACCCGGAAACGAAATGGGGAGGGGCAACTTCCGTTCTTTGTTCTGTTCTCGGTTGTGTGGGTCTGTGACAGGTTCCAACAGGGCCTGGTCCGTGTCCGGCCCCTAAGTCTTACGTCCCTGTCCCCAGGGTGAGTGGGCCGTCTTCGGGGACTCGCGGTGAGGCGGAAGTGTGGTCGCCGGGAAGGGGGTTGGTGTTCACGCCTCTGCGGTCCGCGGGGTACCGGGCATTCCTTGCCCCCGCGGCCGCTGCCCAGCTCCGCAACCCCGGCTCCACGAGCGCAGCGGGTTCCCGCATGTCGCGGATTGGGACTCCGGGTCTGCTCGTGTCCTCTACCGCCAGCCCTAGTGTTTGAAATTCCCAGCGTCGCTGCAAGAGGTCCCTCTCTTTAAAACAGCTGATGACAGCCAGCCTTCCTAACTTGGTACTCTCCGTGCACCGTTTTCTGTGCTGGGGCAGGAGAAGGAAGTTTGTTTTCCCTCTGCTGGATTGGAGAGTGAGAGTAGTTCGGTGTCGCAGATGAAAACTAGGGCTTGGGAGGAGGTGCGAACTCGGGTCCTAGGAAAGATCCTGCGGGGACCTCACCAAGACCTTATGTCCTATAGATGGGTTTTAGTTTACTGCCTGATACTCTTTCGGGAAAGCTGTACAACGCTGGAGCAGACTCCCTGCAGAAAGTGGCTGAGTATGTCCAATGCATTGGCTGACTAAGACACTAAGAACCTAGATCGACACAGAGAACATTCAGTTCCTGTCAGCTCCCTAAGGACAAGTGATGGTCTTCATTGGTAGTTATTAGCTTATATCCTTTTCCCCTCCATACCTCTTAAGCATCTATATTAGAAATAAACTTGACGAGATGTGGTTTTTTTTTTTTCCCATTATGCTCCCTTAATCATACAGGACTGGTATCACCTAAAGCAGTGGTTCTTAACCTTACTAATGCTGCGACCTTTTAATACAGTTCTTCATGTTGTGGTGACCCCCAACCAGACAGTTATTTTTGTTGCTATTTCATAACTGTAATTTTGCTACTGTTATGAATTGTAATGTAAACACCTGTGTTTTCTGATGGTCTTAGGCGATCCCTGTGAAAGGGTCGTTTGACACCCCCTCCCGTTGGGAAACTGCTAACCTAAAATGCATTTCCAGCCGTTAGTGAAGCCTGCTGGCTCACACCTGTAATCCCAGCACAGATGCAAATGAAGCAGGAATAGGAATATAATTTTGTGGCCAACCTGTACGATACAGTGAGTTCCAAGCTAGTCTGGGGTATGTCATGAGGTCTTCCCCAATTAAAAAAGACCAAAAATAAACCCCCAGGAGCTGAACAAAAGGTGCCAAATTTGCTTTGCTACTTTACCCTTACAGGGATTAAGTTCTTAGAAGAAGGGATCCTGGAAGGGAAACTTCTCTTGACCTGTCCTCACTGTCATGTGGTCTTTCTTGGTCGACTGAGCAGCTTGAGGGAGTGAACTTGGCATAAGGGCAGGGGAATGGCTCTGCCCACACCCAGATGGCAGGAGCACCAGAGTTTCTATGAGAAACATTGTTTACTCACTTAGACACTGGGGATTTGTCCTCAACAGTATGCCTTTGAGTTCCAGCTTCAATTAACCCAGCCTTGAATGGAGAGTATTGCCTTTTACGCTGTTTTTTGTTGTTGTTGTTTTTTGTTTTTTTGTTTTTGTTTTGTTTTGTTTTGTTTTTGAGACAGGATCTCTGTACAGAGCTCTGGCTGTTGTTCAACTCACTAAGCATAGACCAGGCAGACCTTGAAGTCGGCCTCCCAAGTGTTGGAATCAAAGGCATGGGTTCACCATGTCAGCTTGCCTTTCACTTTGGAGTCAGCCTTGCAGAGTGAGTGTGTGTGTATGTTTCTTGGAGGTAGGGGCTGGGTTGGAGCTCACAATCCTGTCTCAGTCTCAGGTGCCGGGGATTTCAGGCTTGTGCCACTTATGCCAAGTTGTTGATCTTTGCCAACCCTTGACAGGGTTTCTCTGTAGCCTGGCTGTCCTGAAACTTGCTCTGTAGACCAGGCTGGCCTCAAATTTAGAGATCTGCCTGCCACTGCCTTTGTTGAGCTAGAATTAAAGGCTTGTTCCACCATTACCACTTGGCTGATTTGCCTTTTTAAAATGAGATAATTTTGATTCGTCTTTTTAAAAGGAGATAATTTTGTTGTTTTTGTCCTTTTTGCGATGGGGTCTCATAGTGTTGCCAGATAGGTCTGGGTTTTTTGGTTTGATTTGTTTTTTATGTGAATGGGTGTTTTTCCTGTGTGTATCTGTTTACCATGTGCATGCAATATTCCCCAGAGGCCAAAAGAGGGCATCAAATCCCTGGGGACGTGAGTTACCAATGGTTGTGAGCCACCACATGAGTGCTAGGAATCAAACCCTGGGTCCTCTGGAAGGGCAACCAGTGCTCCTACCCACTGACCATCACTCTAGTCTCTTGTTTGTTTTGAGAGACAGAATCTCATAATGGGCTATGATATCTGATTTCAAAAAGAAATAGGTGTGTAGTAGTTACTTTTATATTACATGTGTAGTGTTTTGCCTGCATATGTCTCTGTACCATGTATGTGCCTGATGCCTTCAAAGACCTGAAGAAGGCATTGGGTTCCCTAGAACTGCAGTTGCAGATGTTGTGAGTTGCAGTGTGGATGGTGGGAATCAAACTGAGGTCTTTCTTCAGGAAGGGCAACAAGTGCTCTTAACCACTGAGCCACCTCTCTAGTCTCAAGATAAGGCTTCTTTTCTTTCTTTCTTTCTTTTTTTTTTTTTGAGACAGGTTTTCTCTGTGTAGCCTTGGCTGTCCTGGAACCCACTCTGTAGACTAGACTGTCCTTGAATTCACAGAGATCCACCTCTGCCTCCCAAGTGCTGGGATTAAAGGTAGTGCCACTACTGCCCAGCAAGGTAAGGTTATAGCACAGGTTGGCCTTGAACTCCTGATCCCTCCCCCATCTCCCTAGTGCTGGTGTTACAAGTGCCTGCCACCATACCTGGCTCAAGGTCAGTCATCTCATGAACTACACTCCCCTTACTGCAATAGTTGTCACTCAGAGTGCTGGGTGGTTGGGGCAAAATTTGGAAATCTGGATTCCTTGTGTGGTCTCATTGCAGGTGTGCCCATATCCACAGGGATCTGAAAGAGCAGGTCTATGTTTCCTCTCACGATTCCTGTATACTGAGATGTGATTCCCTTTCTGAAGTTAGGAGGCATTTTCAAAACTCAGCTGTGGGCCTTTTGCCTCTGCAGTGCTCCTTCAAAACCTGCTTCCTGCCGCGTCTACACCCGGGAGAGCAGCAACCAGAACATTTCACTCTACCTATGGAATCTCAGGCTGACCTTGCATCTCAGGAACCTCCACTCCTAATGGAGAGTGGTAAGATGTGGGCTTGGGAAAGGGGGTTGTTCTTTTTTTTTCCCTTTGAGATAGGATCTCTCTTTGTTTTTTTTTTTATGTTTTCTTTATTATTTATTATGTATACAGTATTCTGCCTGCATGTATACCTGCAGGCCAGAAGAGGGCATCAGATCTCATTACAGATGGTTGTGAGCCACCATGTGGTTGCTGGGGATTGAACTCAGGACCTTTGGAAGAGCAGGCAATGCTCTTAACCACTGAGCCATCTCTCCACCCCCCCTTTTTTTAAATAAGTTTATTTATTTTGTGTGTTATGCATATAGACATGTATGCCACCATGCACCAAAGTCCATGCAGACAGAAGTGAAATAGCAAGCTCTGGAGCTGGTTCTCTCCTTCTATCATAAGAGCTGCTGGTGGGCTTCAAACCCAGGTAGTCAGGCTTCGTCCCAGTACCTTTACCCACTGAGCCGTCTGCCTGCCCAGAACTCTTGAAACGTTTTGTATTATCAATAGTAATTATATAGGATATTTTTGGTTTTTATTATGTTGCATGCTTTTTTTTTTCTTCAAACATTAAAGAGTTGTGGGGTTGAAGAGATGGCTCAGTGGGTAAAAGATCTTGCCACGGAAGCCTGAGAACGAGTTTGAATCCCCAGAACCTACTACATTAAACCAGATGTATAGTAAGAATGTCTGTAATCCCAGCATTCCTATGATGAGGTGGGAGCTAGAGACAAGGAAAGCCCCAGAAGCTCATAGGCCAGCTAGCATAACACATGGAGCAGAAAAACAACAAAATGTCCAGCCTCACAAGGTGGAAGGCAGGGGCTGACACTTGAGGTTGTCCCCTGACTGCCACATGTGCACCGTGGCTTATGTGCACCCACCCTCACACAGACATTCTTACACAAAAATTCCCCAAACAGTAAAAGTTGTGTGGGAATAGGACTTACAGGACTCCCTGGGTATGGAACCCAGGGTCATACATTTGCTAGATGAGCACTTAGCTAACAGCTACCGGTTTCAACCTGAATGGCTCTTTCCATGCTTACTAGCAAAAAGCATTTAGAATCCGTTTTGTCAAATCTAGTTATGTGTAGTAGGTTAAACCCTGAGAGACAAACACAAAACTTATGGCTGATGGGGAAAGGTATGTAGTCAAGTGCAGAGCTAGGAAACATTTCTATCGTGTGTGTGTGTGTGTGTGTGTGTGTGTGTGTGTTTGGTCTTTGGGCAAAGAAAGAGGTGTGGATGTTGTGTTTTCTGTCGGGGCTGAAGGGAAGCTGCTTATTTTTCTCTGCCTAAGATCTCTTATGAGAGTTTGTGTTAGTGGAATGAGAATGGAACTGGTTCCTGGCCACGCTTGAAGAGCAGGCCTGAGCAGTCCGAGTGGCTGCTGGTGTAGCGCAGTGGTAAAACACCTGCTTAGCGTGCACAAAGCTGGGACTCTGATCCTCAGCACCGCCATGAGAAAGAGTATGGCATTCATGAAAGCAGAGACTGGGTGCTTGTTTTTAGGCATGTGACCTTCGGTCAGAAGGCAGGCAGATTGATTCCTGACCCTGGTCTTGTCCTTCAGCTCTTTCCTCTTCAGAAGTCCCTTCCTTTCCTGACAAGGACAGTCTGGGACGTGAGATGTTGGCTGCTGCACTTCTGAAGACCAAGTCCCAGGTAAGCCATGCTTCCCTTCATTCTTTTCCTTCTTCTGTGAATAGATTTTGTAGTGATGTATCCTTTAGTGCCCTAAACTCTAATTCTTTTTTTTTTTTAATATTTTTCATTTATTATGTATACAGTATTCTGTCTGTGTGTATACCTGCAGGCCAGAAGAGGGTACCAGACCCCATTACAGATGGTTGTGAGCCACCATGTGGTTGCTGGGAATTGAACTCAGGACCTTTGGAAGAGCAGGCAATGCTCTTAACCTCTGAGCCATCTCTCCGGCCCCCCTAAACTCTAATTCTTAAAACTGTGGTTCTGGGTCCAGTGAGATGACTCAGTGGATAAAGGTTTGTGCTGCCAGCCGGGCAGTGGTGGTGCATGCCATTAATCACAGTACTTGGAAGGCAGGGGAAGGGGGATCTTTGTGAGTTCAAGGCCAGCCTGGTCTACAAAGTGAGTTCCAGGACAGCCAGAGCTACACAGAGATCCTGTCTTGAAAAACAAACAAAAACGGTGCTTGCTGCTAACCCTGCCAACTGGGTTCAGTCCCTGGGATCCACATGTTGGAAGGGGAGGACTGACTGTCACAGATTGTCCTCTGACCTCCATATGTGTGCAGTAGTACCCCTCCCAAAATAAATACACATTAATAAAAAAGTTATTGCCATTATGGACTCTTGGAAGGCAGATACACTCATCACTGTACTATCAATGCTGTACTCTGTTTTGGATGCTCATGCTGGCATTGCTCAGACCTGTCCACATCCCAAAGAGGTATTACTCAACCCGTCCTGGTGGCTCTTTGGTGCTGCCAGTCCTGACCCTTGCCATGAAATTGCATTTATGGCCACATGACTGTTTCAGGAGCTGGTGACATTTGAAGATGTAGCTGTCTACTTCATCTGGAAAGAGTGGAAACGTTTGGAACCTGCACAGAGGGACCTCTACAGGGATGTGATGCTGGAGAATTATGGGAATGTGTTCTCACTGGGTAAGGACCTGGGCCTTCTCAACACAACATCTACTTTCTCTAGGTTTCAGGGTTTGCTAGTGGCAGTGTAGTTTTTTATTTTGTTTATGTTTTCTTTTGAGACAGAGTTTCTCTGTGTAGCTCTGTAGCCTGTCCTAGAACTCACTTTGTAGACCAGTCTGGCCTCAAACTCACAGAGATCCGCCTACCTCTGCCTCCCAAGTGCTGGGATTAAAGGCGTGCGCCACCACCACCCAGCTGGCACACGGCTTTAATCCCAGCACTCAGTAGGCAGAGGCAGGCGTATCTCTGTGAATTTGAGGTCAGCCTGGTCTACAAGAGCTAGTTCTAGGACAGGATCCAAAGCTACAGAGAAACCCTGTCCCGAAAAAGAAAAAAATAATAATAAAGTCGTGTGCCACCACTGCCTGACCAGTGTAGTTTTAGAAAACTCTAATAATGGTGCCAGAGGGATGGCACTTTCTGATCTTGCAGAAGATCTAAGTTCAGTTTCCATTACTCACATGGAGGCTCTCAATTGTAACTCTGTTTCAGGGGATCTGAAGCCATCTTCTGGCCTCTAACAGCACCAGACACATATGATGCATACATACATGCAGACAAACAATCATACCCATTAAATACAAATAAATTTAAAAAAAAACTAGTAACAGTAAGAATGATCACAGAGCTGGAAGGTGGTGGCACACGCCTTTAATCCCAGCACTAAGGAAGCAGAGGCAGGCAGATCTCTGAGTTTGAGGCCAGCCTGGTCTACAGAGCTAGTTCCAGGACAGGCTCCAAAGCTACAGAGAAACCCTGTCTAGAAAAAACAAAACAAAAGAATGATAACTCACATTTATAGTATAATTTGTTTCTTATAAGGAGGTTTCACAGATATCCTTGCATTTAACTCCATAGTTGAGTCACCCCATAGTTGAGGTGGTTAGTAATAGCCTCATTTTATAGGCGTGAAACGTGAGGTCAAGATGTGCAAAAGCAGAGCTAGAGAGGCAGCTCGGTGGTTAAGAGCACTGACTGCTCTTCCAGAGAATCTGTGCTGTATTCCCTGCACCCACACAATAGCTGACAACCTTCTGTAGTCCCAGTTCCTAGGAATCTGATGCCCTTTTCTAGCCTCCACAGACACCAGACATGCATGTGATACACATACATACATGTGGACAAAACACATATATGGAAAAGAAATAAACAAAAAGACCCTTAGAAGCCAGTTGGGCATGGTAGGCATATAATGTGGTGGCATATACCTGTAATCTCTGCTCTTGAGAAGTAGAGGCAGGCCGATCAGCTATTACTGATTCACTATGGGTTTGAGACCACCCTAGACTGCATGAGACCCAACCTCAAACAGTCAAGCAAACAATGAACTTAGACACTTTTTGCATGGTGATAGAACTTGTGAATGACAAAGCTTAAGCTCCAGTGTTGTTTCTTGTTATTTATGTCTTTGGAGATATATCTGTCTGTCTGTCTGTCTGTCTGTCTGTCTATCTGCCTATCTGTCTGAGACTGGGTTTCACACTGCCTGTGCTGGCCTGGAACCCATTAAGTAACCGCAGGATGGCCTTAAGCTCTGTAATCCTTGCACATCAGCTACTCTAGTGCTGCTGAGCCCCCGCCCTAGTAACACCAAGCCTGGTGCTTTAGCCATCTAATTTTAGGACTTAATATGTTAATCCTTCAGTCTTTTCTGAAGGATAATATGTTGGGATTCCTGAACATGGAAGGTGGTGCTCTGTGTCTGAGTGAACATTCTAGAGCTTTCTATTCTTCCTGTCTCTGTTGGATTACTCCAAGGATCTACTGTTTTGTTTAGGAGCTTATTATGTACCATGTACAGAAATGTGTTATTTTGGTGCTGGAGAGCTGGCTTGGGATTTAAAAGGTTTACAGTTCAGTTCCTAACAGTGATAGCAGGGGGTTCCAAAACTACCACCAGTAACTCCAGTTTTAGGGGGTGGGGTGGGGCTAATGCCCTCTTCTAGCCTCCAGAACCACATCCACACACACAATTTTTAAAGGAAATGTATTGCTATACACCTTTAGTCCCGGCATTTGGGAGGCAGAAGCTGGTAGAGCTCTGTTTGTTCAAAGCCAGCTGGGTCTACATAGTGAGTTCCAGGACAGACAGCCAGGGCTATATATTGAGACCCTGTCTCAGAATAAACAAACAAACAAAATCAATTACTTGTTTTAAGTAGAATTACCTTCTTAATGCTTTGGGTTAGTTACTTATCTTTTACCTCACTTCCAGTGAGAACATTTTTCCAAGCAGCACCAGGGTATCTTCCTAACTGCCAGTTGAGATGTCCCAATACATTTCCTTCTGTCCCCTGCAGACCTGGGGGCTAGGTTTGTGCTCAGGGAACACTTAGTATGGCCATGTCTGTGCCTATGAGTGTGTTTTTCTTTCTGAGTCCTGCCACAGTCTCTTGGCTGGAATGAGAACTGAGGGGTCTGAGAAAAGAGAAGGCTTGGGGTGGGGGGGGGTCTGTTCGAGTGAGTCCTTACCCTGTCTATTTTACAAAATACTGACAAACTAAAAATACTTTATGGACCCAGTGGAATCATCCTCCATGCCTAGAGTTCCCTGTAGGAACTCTGTAAATAGTGAAACTGAGAATCTAGACATGGAGATTATTTATATATATAGCCTGCAATATAACATAACCTTCCTGGTCTACAGCCCAGAGTTGGGCTAAAACTGTTTTGTCTTGGTAGTATACATGTTTGGACTACAGACAGGTTAGTTCTCACCTGGGGGTTTCTTAGTCTGTCCTCTGCTCCTTGTGTTTTTCCTGCCTTTCTCTTAAGCTGTCTGTTAAGCTCCTTATACATTTGCTCCACCTATCAGGCTTCCCCTTTTTTGGATTGTGTCTCCTATGTAGCTCAGGCTGGTCTCAAACTCATGGTCTTTCTGCTTCAGCCTACTGTGTGCTACAATTAATAGACACATGTCACCCCCTTCAGTTTCCTATCATTCTTAGACTCATTACTTCAACCATCTTCCTCCTTTTCTTCTCGCCATCTTCCCAGACACATCCACAGCCTCTGACCTGTCTGAAGACTGGCGCTTCATTAAGTAACAAGTCTTTCTTACCTAGGTTTGTTTTGTTTTATTTTATTCTTTTATGTGTATGAATGTTTTGCTTACATGTATGTGTGTACCACATGTGATCCTGGTGCCTCTAAAGGTCAGAGGAGAGCCCTGAATCTTCTGGAACTACAGTTACAGACAGTTGTAAGCCTCCATGTGGGCAATGGAACTCAAACCTGTGCCCTCTGCAAGGGCAACAAGTACTCTTAACCACTGAGTCAACTCTTCAGCCTCCCTTACCTAGTTTTTATTCCCATAAAGTAGCCTATCTATCTCCTCCCATCCCCAGCACATCATTGACTTCCTCTGGGTTCACGTCTTTTCTCCCTGATAGTCTTTCTTCCTTGTTCCTTCTCTGGCTATTTAGCCCATTTGCCCTACTTTGCTTTAGTTATACATACAGGTTGGAAGGCCTTTCTTCAGGCCAGCAAAGGGACATGTGCTTTTAAATGTCAGACACATGATTATCTTGTTCTCTGACTTTTATTCTTTTATCACAAATAACATATGACACTTGAATTTTTTTTATTGTGCTAGATTATGAATCTAAAACTGGAAATGACCAAGTAATCTCTGAAGGCATGGGGTCACATGAGATGATGTTGGGACAATTCCAAACGGATGTTTCTCAGGGTCTTAAGTTTGGAGAAGCCTATGAAGAAGAAGTCAGTTTGAAGAGACAGCTAGGGAATTCCTCTGTTGGAAGACTGAATAGGAGAATACAGGAGTTTCACCAAGCGACAGTCGAGGAAAAGCTTACCCATATGGGACAAAGAAATGAGAAGTATAATGAGTTTGGGAACAGCTTCACTGTGAATTCCAACCTCATTTCACACCAGAGATTTCCCATGGGACACAGACCCCATAAGTGTGATGAATGTAACAAGAGTTTTAATCGAACTTCAGACCTTATTCAACATCAGAGAATTCACACTGGGGAAAAACCCTATGAATGTAGTGAATGTGGAAAGGCCTTCAGTCAGAGCGCACATCTTATTCAGCACCAGAGAATCCACACTGGAGAGAAACCTTATGAATGTAAAGATTGTGGGAAGACCTTCAGTTGTAGCTCTGCTCTCATTCTACATCAGAGAATCCACACTGGGGAGAAACCTTACGAATGTAATGAATGTGGAAAAACATTCAGCTGGAGCTCCACTCTTACTCACCATCAGAGAATCCACACTGGTGAGAAGCCCTATGCTTGCAACGAATGTGGGAAGGCTTTCAGTCGGAGTTCCACCCTTATTCATCATCAGAGAATCCATACTGGAGAAAAGCCCTATGAATGTAATGAGTGTGGGAAGGCCTTCAGCCAGAGCTCACACCTCTATCAGCACCAGAGAATCCACACTGGAGAGAAGCCCTATGAATGTATGGAATGTGGGGGGAAGTTTACCTACAGTTCAGGCCTTATTCAGCATCAAAGAATCCACACAGGGGAGAATCCCTATGAATGTAGCGAGTGTGGGAAAGCCTTCAGGTATAGCTCAGCTCTTGTTCGCCATCAGCGGATTCATACTGGAGAGAAGCCTTTGAATGTAATGGGTGTAAGCAGAAATTCTCTTAGGGTTTCTGCTGAATTAAACATCAGAGAATCCACGTGAGAGAGCCACATACCATTTTCCTCACTTCCTGAGTCTAAAGAGCTCTTGCCTTACTTTATAAATAGCACCAATTTAGGATGTTTCCCACCTCAAACCTTTCACTCAGAGTGGGGCAGATTGGGAAAAACATCCTGGCACAGTGATGACCAGGATTTCCCAGGAGTGCATACCAGTCTTGAAAATTGTGAGGCAAGTAGCAGATTAAGCACTGGGAAAAGGAGGAAGCTTGGGGACCAGTGATCCCTTTTTTAGGCAGGGGTTTGCACTAAACCAATTTTCTCACACCAGAAGAGCCTTTTTTTCTAAGTTGGGGATGGACATTTATTAGCAACAAAATTCCAAGGATTCCACTAGTTGGAGTCAATCTGGTGAACACAGAAGACAGAGGGAAGAATATTCTGGGTCATCTAGAAAGGGAAACAAGCTGTATTTCTTTTTCTCTCCCCCTCCCCTTTTTTTTTGAGATAGGTCTAGCCCTAGCTTTTCTTGAACTCACTGTGTAGACCAGGCTGTCCTTGAACTCAATGAGATCTGCCTGCCTTTGCCTCTGAAATGGTGGGATTAAAGGCATATATACAACCATGCCAGGCCCCCAGGAGCTGCATTTCCAAGCCACTCTTACTAATCCAGCTTTGAGATTGGACAAGGAATATGCTGCTTTGGTAGGTACATGACTTCATGAATTCAGGAAACTTGGTGCTAATGAGTTCATTTTATTGGGGGTGGAGTGAGGGAAGGATCCCAGCAAGGGTCTGTAGTGACTACCCTTGGAACTCTTGAAGCAGTGATAACATGTTTTCATGAGCAGTCTGGGGCTAGAGAAACAGCTCAGAGGTTAAAAGCACTGACTGCTATTGCAGAGGTTCTGAGTTCAGTTCTCAGCAACCACATGGTGACTCACAACCATCTATAATGAGATGTGATGCCCTTTTCTGGCATGCAGGCATGCATGCAGACAGAACAGTATACACAATACTGTAGGCAGACCCCACATCCCCCCCTTGTAATAGGACTGACTGGAAGGAATCTCACTGGAACAGTAACTAACCTGCAGTAGATCAGAAGCATTTAATACTGGCCTGACTCCTGCCCTTTCTTCCTATTCCTGTGGTGAAAGGTAATTTGATGTCAACCTCTAGTTATTAAGGATGCTGTAGGGAGCTCATCTACTTAGCTTGTCCTGCCCTCTCACCTCTAACATCTGGCCTCAGCAGCTGCACCTCTCCAGAGTTCATCTGCCTTCAGCTACTTCAGAGTACACAAACAGTAAATACAGAGAGGCACTGAGGCCCAAGCTTGGCAGCAGGGCACCTTGCTGGGTTCGGGTGGTGCTCTAACCAACAGATGGCTTCCCATATTTCTCCAACCCTGCTCAATCTGTAGCTTAAAAGAAATGCACTATTAAACAGAATAGTCTTTCAGAAGAGGAGATGGAGTGTATGTTTGTATAGGAATCAAAGTTATGTCAGTTAGAATAGCACAGAAACCATAAATGGAACCCTAAAGTAAACTTTGATAACCACCTTTTGGTCACAAATGTGAGATTTTTCTTGTCCAATGCAGCTCTCTCAAACTCTTTGTAGACACTTTTGTAGACTATATAAACGTCTGCAGCTACTCCCACCATAACAAATCAGAATTTCATGAGCTTTAGTCATTTTGTGTGATACAATAAGACTGACAACGAAAACTAAAAGTGTACTTGGCTCTTTTGGAGCAAGGAGCATATTTCTCTGTCTTGTTCGGTGTTTGTAGAGAGATATGGCCATGGAGAATGGCAGGCTGGGAATGGGATGAAGAGATTAGCATTAAGATGGCTGTGAACTTCCAGCACTTGGGAGGCAAAGGCAGGTGGATCTGTGTGAGTTCAACAAACCTGGTCTACAAAGCTAGTTCTAGGACAGCCAAGGCTACACAGAGAGAAACCCTGTCTTGCAAAAAAAGAGAACTCACTTATTTTTTTGTTGGTAGATTATGTAATGGGTCATCTAATATGTGTCTTTAATTTCACAAATTTTTGAAACTGATCATCTTTGATTACTTTGACATTGCCAGGCCTAGTGATTCAGGTCTCTAATGTCAGTTACTTGGGGGTGGGGGCTGATAGAAGAGGATCACGAGTTCCAGGCCTTCCTATAAAATGAGTTTAAGGCCAGCTTGGACAAGTTACTAAGGAGAACATTCCATTGTTTATCTTTCCAATTACTGGAAATTAAGCCGAGCCAAGTCAGCCTCCTTGCCAGTTATACAATTAGCTTCTAGTTCTGCCTTTTCAAGCAGCACATAATTCTTTATCAAACAAAACTTTGAAGAACATTTTTTTCTTTTGCTATTTTTTGAAACAGAGTTTGTCTGTGTAACCCTGACTGTCCTGGAACTTGCTCTGTAAACCTGGCTGGCCTCGAACTCACTGAGATCTGCCTGCCTCTGCCTTCTGATTGCTGGGATTAAAGGCGGGCACCACTATATCTATCTTGGTGAACATTTTCATTCATAGCAAAAGAAATTGTTTGTTTTGATCACCACCTTTTCTGGGGATCAAAATCCAGCGTCCCTTTCGTGCTGGGCAAGAACTAAGTACCTCAACCCAGCATTTTTTTGCATTTATTTTTGGTGTGTGTTTATGCATGCATACATGTGCCATGACATGCATATGGAGGTCAGAAGTCAACTTGGAGGAGTTGGTTCTTCTGCAGCGTGGGTCCCAGGGATGTAGGTGAGGTCACCAGGCCTGACAAGGGCAAATGCCTTTACCTGTGGAGCCATTTCTCTGATTCAGGCATTTTTATTTTATTTTACTTTTATGGTTTTTGAGCCAGGACTGACCTTGAACTGATCTTCCCGTGTCTACCTCCCAAGTGCTGGGATCGCAAGCATATGCTACCACACCTGCTTAGGATCTGATTTTGAATGCCTTCCATCTCCAGTGACATCTTTGAGATCCCATTCAGATGATACTGGGAAAGTATGTTATGTAATAAAGGTTCTAACTGAGCACAGAGCCCAGGTTCATGTGCACTTTTCAGGTAACAGGATGAACCATGAAGTGATGATAAGCTTCTTATTGAATTGTTTCTTTTTTAGCAAACAATACAAATTGAAAAAAAGAGAAAAAGTTATTTTGCTTTGGTTTGTGCTTTAGGTGGTATCTTGTTATGTAGCCCAGCCTATCTTTAAACTAAATTCTGTTGCAACCTTTTTAAATTCTGGAATTAATCTGTCATATCCAGTTAAAAAGAGTTTTAAAAAGCTCTCCACAGACATTTTTTTTATTGTAAATTGCTTAAGACAGTTGAGTCTTTTATTTTTTTTTTTCAATTAAAAAAGTCCAAGGGCTAGAGACATAGTTGGTAGCATATTTGCTTCACGTGATAAAGTCCCGGGCTTGAGCTCTAGCAGTGTATGAATTGGGCATGGCTTATTCCCAACACTGAGGAAGGTCAGGAGTTAAAGGGTATGCAAAGTTATATATGGTTGAGGTTAACCAGAGACCTACATGAAACCCTGCCCCCACCAAAATGATGCACCCAGCTAGGTGCATTATTTAAAATGTCAGTAATGAATCAAAAATTGTATAGACTTATTTTCACACAAAGATAATTGTGGTTACATGAAGTTTGCTCTAGAATAGCAATTCTTTTGCTTATTTATTTTTTTCGAGACAAGGTTTCTCTGTGTAGTCCTGGCTGTCCTGGAACTTTCTCTGTAGACCAGGCTGCCCTTGAACTCAGATCTGCCTGCCTCTGCCTCCTGAGTGCTAGGATTAAAGACGTGTGGCACCACCACCCAGCTATTTTGCTTTTTCTTAAGATTTTATTTTTATACCTAAGTATAGGCCCAAAGAAGTTGTATAAGGGCACTGGATTCCAGGGAGCTGGAGTTACAGGCAGTTGTGAACTGTCTGACATGGGTTCACAACTGCCAAACTTAGGTCCTGTAAGGGTAAAGGAACAGTGTCTTTTTTGTTTTGTTTTGCTTTTTTGAGACAGGATTTCTCTGTAGCTTTGGGGCCTGACCTGTATGTAACTCATTCTGAAGACCAGGGTAGCCTGAAACTCACAGAGATCTGCCTGCCTCTGCCTCCCGAGTGCTGAGATTAAAGGAGTGCGCCCCCACCGCCCAGCTAGAACAGTGCCTTAATTACTGTTCTGTTACCGGGAAGAAACACCATGACTAAGGTCTCCCAAGTGCTGGGATTAAAGGCATGTGCCAGCACCACCTGGTATGTTGCCTTGGAAAAAGCATTTAACTGGGGGCTTGCTTACAGTTTTAGAGGTTAGGCCATGACCATCATGGCAGGGAACAGGCAAAGCACACTGAGCAGTAGATGAGAGCAGTAGATGTGGATCCTGATCCACACGGGCAGCAAGCAGAGAGAGACTGGTCCTGGCGTGGGCTTTTGAAATCTCAAAGTCCACCCTCAGTGATACACCTCCAACAAGGCTACTAAGTATGCAAATATGTGAGCCTATGGGTGCCATTCTTGTTTAAACCATCACAAACAGTATCCACTCCTAAATGATGAGCCATCTCTCCAACCTCAGAATAATAACTTAGGACCAACTGCCTGTTGAGGTGGGTTACAAACATGGGAATTATCCCTTTCAACCCTACAGCTTCTCAGTCAACATCTGATCCATCCCTTCTTCCATTTTCTCAGGTGGGTTTTTGTTACCTCATTCCAGGACTTTGGTACCAGCCTCACAGTGGGTCTGTGCATTCTTTCTCTTACACTCTTCATCCTACCCACATATTAGTCACTGTACTGGTGCCCTGGCCAAATAGCTGACATAGATAAAATGGAAGATTAATCTTGGCTCAGTTTCACAGACATAGTACACAAATTCTGGGGCCTTTTTTCCTTTTTGCGGGTTATTCATTTATTGTATAAATTGAGTATTACATGATGAATTGACATTACCTCTCCAGACATGGGAATTTAACAGATGAAGTCAGACTTTTAGAATCTGTTTATGTTGCTTTCAAAACTGCGGGGTTTTAGATTTAAACTTTAAGTATAAGACCATCAGAGCTATTCCTCTGTCTGTGGCCAGTAGACAATCCATTCTACCTGTGACACTCTAAGAATTGAAATACAGGGGTTTGAGAGATGGCTCAGTGATTAAGAGCACTTGCTGCTCTCCCACAGGACTTGAGTTTGGCTCCCAGCACTTGTAACTCTAGCTCCAGGGGATCTGATGCCCTCTACTGGCCTTTGCTGGTATCTGCACACACATGGTGTACACGTACACAAACACATTTTAAAAAGTTGAAATACTTAGGCTGGGCGGTTGGTGGCGCACACCTTTAATCCCAGCACTCGGGAAGCAGAGACAGGTGGATCTCTGTGAGTTCGAAGCCAGCCTGGTCTATAGAGTGAGTTCCAGGACAGACTCCAAAGCTACAGAGAAACCCTATCTCCAAAAACAAAAAAGGATGTTGGGTTTGGTTGTAATTCTTTGTCAGGTGGTGGTGGTGCACGTCTTTAATCCCAGCACTTGGGAGGCAGAGGCAGGTGGATCTCTGTAAGTTTGAGGCCAGACTGGTCTACAAGAGCTAGTTCCAGGACAGGCACCAAAGCTACATAGAAACCCTGTCTTGGGGAGGGGAAAAAAGTTGAAATGCTTTTTAAGAACAGTGAACTTGGCTGGGTGGTGGTGGCATCCACCTTTAATCCCAGCACTGGGGAGGCAGAGACAGGTGAATCTCAGTGAGTTCAAGGCCAGCCTGGTCTACAGAGTGAGTTCCAGGACAGCCAGGGCTACACAGAGAAACTCTGTCTTGAAAAAACAAAATAAACAAACCAGTGAACTGGACCATTTCTGGCCCTGATATGACTTCAATGGCCTAAGGTTTCCATGGGAGGTGGTAGAAGATATCGTTTACTACAAGGAGTTGATGCTGGTCCATGGAGGTCATTGTGATGCTGAAATCTACTCCTTACATCTGAACAGATAAGACCTGAATAAACAGTGAAACAAAAAAGTGCTTTGCCTATGCCACAAATCCATAGCTAATGTCCTTCAACAAACCCAATTACCTGCTCAGTCTGGCCAGAAACCAATCCTTGATTCATGGTGGTGGGAATGTGTGGAGAGGGTTGTTCACTTCATGGCAGCCAGGAAGAAGAGAGAGAAGGGATTGGGATGGACCCTGCCACCCATTTCTTCCAGCTAGGCTTCACCTCCCAAAGTTTCCCTATTCCTACTATCCCAAATGGCGCCATCAACTGCAGATCAAACACAACACATGAGCTAATAATAGGGAATGCCATACTCACATTGTAACTGTGCGTGTGAATTACACGGACAGCATGTTCAGTGTGTATTTCTGTGTCTCCTTCCCTGGTTGAAAGGCCAAAATTAATTTTTAATATTTATTAATTTCTTATGTGTGTGTAGTGCGAGGTCATATGAACAGGCCAGAGGACAACTTTGAGATGTTGATTCTCTCCTTCCACTCCCTGGGTCCACAGGATCCAGGTTGCTATGCTTTGAGGCAAGTGCCTTTCCCCACTGA